TAAGAGTGTTTTACTTCAGGCAGGCCTTGGTGGCTCAGTCGGTTAAGCATCTGCCTTCAGTTCAGGTCATGATCCCGCAGTCCTGGGATTGAGCCCCACACTGAGCCCCACACTGAGCCCTGCAACGGACTCCCTGCTCAAGTGGGGAGTCTGCTTCTCCCTCTGCTCCTCCCCCTGTTCGTGTGCTCTCTCAAATAAATATTTTTTTTAAAAGTGTTTTTCTTCAAAAAGATTTAAGTTTGCAAAGCCTAACATGAGATAAGATCACAAACTGGATGGTTTCTTTCTCACCAGCCTGCCCTTCTCCCAAAGACCCTAGATGTTTAGGAAGTCTGTGTAATTAGAAGGAACGAGGACTGAGAGCCCCTTGGTAGGAGCAGAGAAACTGAAAATCCTTCCGGAACTGAAATAACCAGCACTACAGGCCTGTGAGGACAAGTGCTCGTGCTGAAATGAGAAAAAACATACCGCAATGATCACGCCTTTTCGGTCTGCTTAAAATGCAAGTTAATCTCTTTAAGAAAGAGGGCCTGCCAAGAAAAAAGCCTGCAAAGTGCCATCCATTACGGGGTCTGTAAGAATTCCGATCTGTGCTAAGACCTATTTATTGGTCAGAAGGGAGGAGGGTGAGGAGAAATCAAGAATTTCCTTTCAGTGACTGAGTCACTCTGGTACGTGAGTGCAGGTGAAGGCTGGGCTGCAGCCTTCCTGTTTTGTACTATGCCTGTCTTCTGCCACAGAGGGAAGTGGAGGGGGAAAGCAAGCTTGGGTAGCCCCGGAGAAGGAAAGGAGGTCTGGGAAGTCCCTGTCCTCAGCTGGGTTCTAGGCAATGGCTCTAAGCCCTGAGGATTCTAGTGCTCAAGGGAGGATGGCTGGTTAGTGGCTGAGAGATGAAGAGGAGGACAGGACTTTGATAGGCTTTCATAGTGCCTAGAAGCTAGCCAAACCAGAGGAACATTTAGTTAGCTAGAACCTAAATATAACAGGTAATATTTTGCTTATCCCTATTTTATAAAATGAAGTTCATCCATTCATACTGGTATTATTTTCAAAGGGGTACATGTATGTGTGACTGTATGTGTGTGCACATAAGAGAGAAGTTAAAAAAAGAAACTGAGTGTCAGGATTGTGTACATTGTTTATTTTTCTTTGGGCCATCTGTAGGTAGAGTCAAGTTGCAGGAAGGACATATTTAGGATGCCTCAGAGATGTCTTCTTTTGTTCTTTTATTATTCCCCATATAAAAGGAGGCTTCTGAGAGGTGAGTGACTGGCCCCTGAGCCCATGGGGCCCCCATGCCTCCTCCCTGGCCGTGCAGGCTGTGAGGCATGGTGCAGGGATGCTCTAGGCTCTCAAGGCTTGGATTCTGGCTCCTAGTTTTGGGGGTCTGCTGCTGACTCACTGCATGAACTGGGGCCGGTCACAGTTTTCTCAGGTAAAAAACTCAAAGCCAGGGCTTGGATTTTAGAGACTTTTCATGGCGGTTTCCTCCTGCAGTGTTCTCTGATTCGGTTGCACAATATGATGTTCTAAAGAGATGTTTTCATCCTTCCGGGTTTTACATACTCATACTCAAGAGCCTCCGTAATAATAACAATGCCCCATCTAGTGTCCAAACAGGGAATATTGGTCCAGGAGTACACAGTGGGGAACAGCTCTTGGCCCTCCCTGGCATCAGGGCGCAGAATGGCAGTTGACAGAAAGGATGCCCCCCCCCGGGGGGTGGTCTTTATATCTCACTGACCCAAGTTGGTGACAAAGGAGATTTTTGAAAAGGCTGGGTTTTACAACTTTTAAGGGTGATGTACCATGCTAGCACAGTAAGACTTTTATTAAGGTTGCAAAAAAGGATCTTTCCTAACATTTGTACTGGCAGCGATGGCCATGAACATAGGAGAGCCTCAGGGGGCTGGGGATCAGAAGGCAGCACCTTGCTGATGGACAGTGCAAAGGGGTTCTGGGTGTGCCCCAAGCAACCCAGCCACGTTTTAGCATCTCGCTGAGATTTTCACAGACAGAACCTGTGAGTTTGGCAGGGTTTCAATTCCCTCACCTTTCCCTTTTCATTTCTTTCTTTCTAAATGCGCTCACACAAGGAAAACGGGCCTGATCATTAACAGCTAACCACATGCTCTTAGAACTTCCCACGTTCCTTACCACTCTGTCCCTCTTCTGACTTTAAGGCCACCCCATAGCAAAGAAACCATGGGAGGGAATGATCACAAATACTGGGACAATGCATGCATCGTTTAAGTGAGCAGGCTTCCTCCTTCTGTGTTTGACTCTCCTGTGCTGCTTTTTCTTCACTAAGTGCAGGGGCAATTGAATTTTTATACTGCCATGTAAAAATCGCTGCATTTTGGGACCTGCCTCCCTCTCGGAAGTCAATTCCGTGGAATACGTGTGCAGCGTCTCCTGCATGCCAGACACTGTCTTCATGATGTCTGGGCTGAGAGAACATAGTGAGCCCAAACTCAGAAATTCTCCATCATGCTGCCCATCCTGCCCACAGCATTGTGACCTAGATTACCGGAAGCACGTTTCACTTCTTGTGACCAAGTTCTCAGCGGCAGAGATTTTTCTCCTTGTTTATTATACTTAAGCCTGATTCTCTTGATTGTTGAACCCATGCCAGCAAGTGCTTATCTTTTAGAATTCTGCAATGCTGACCAGGCTGACAGCCGGAAAAACTCACCTGCCTGCTGACCTGCTTTGATCTCTTCTTACTAACTGGTTGCTTCTCTGTGACCTCCCTCACCAGTCAGCCTTCCGTCCTTACCTTCCAGTCAACCACTTGGAATTGTATGATTTACTAGCGCAATGCGGCTTCTGCTCATTTCTGAATCTGCCTCCATGTGATCCATATTCCAAAACTCACTTGATTCCAGGGTGTCCCAAATTGTCCTTAACTCCCTCATCACACATTCCATATACCTGCTCCATGATCTTCATGCTCATCCTGAGAGCAGCATGCCCTCTGACTGAATTCAGTGATGATCTCTGCTCAGTCCCACTGATCTCAATACAGGTCTGGTGAGCTGTGGTATTCTTGAGTACAACTATTACCTGGTAACCAGTAACTCAGGAGGCTCAAACAGAAAACTGGCCAATGAGATTTGCCTCAGAGGGCCACCAGAACACAGTGATCATTGATAAATACTGAAGAAAGAAGACATCTGGAATATTTACTGAACATCTAGAATGGTGCCTGGTACATGAGGGGGATTCAAAAAGATTTTGGCAAGTTATGTATGGTATCTTTTAAATAACAAATTGTAAATGTTTGGAGCTATGATTGGATAATGTCAGCTCCTTCTGGTTAAAGAATCTATCTGATTCATATTGATATCCCCAGGGCCCAGCACAGTGCCTGGTATATAGTAGGTTGATAGATATTTGTTGAATTAAAATGACTTTGTTGAAAAGAGTATGTCAAATGTACTTCCAGAAGATGTCTAATTTCCCAGGAGTCTAGATGCGGTAGGACATCTTAAACATCCAGACAAAACTATCAGATTGGTTGGACCCCTAAATCTACAATATTCTTGAAGGACTAGAGCCTGTGAATCTACCGAATGGGTATGAACCACAACAAGGGAAGAATAGGAACTCTTCAGTGACCTAATGTACATTCCTCTCCTGCCGGGAGCCTCTGCACTTTCAGGTTTGGCCTGGGATGCAAGACATCCTTCTGGATAGCTACTTACTCATAAGCAAAAATAGGAAGCTGGGTTTGGCCATGCATCTCTTATGTCTGACACATGGATGAGCATGAAACAGCCAGCTATGGGCCCTCTAATGGAGCCCAACACAGTTGCCAAAACAGCTGGATGGCAAAGGGCCAAGAATGTAACGCTCTTAGTGAATGGTGTAAGGCTAAGCGGTTTAGGACGCTTAGTTTTTTGTTATAGTTGAAGCTATCCAGAAATGTAGGGAACACTATACTTAGGTCATTCAAGGGTGCAAGATTTTCAAACTATATTAGAATGTGTTAGCACTCATTTTGCATAAACTATAAAGCATCCATTTTTAAAATACTCGTAGCAATCAATGCTTTTAATTGAGCTGAAAAAACATATAGAGATAGAGAAATGTTTAGTCCGAGCTATGGTTCCTGACAGTCATCTTCACAGATAAATTTCCACAATGGATGTTTCAATTAAGACAGTAATATTTATTGAAAGGTAAGCCATAAATGCATAGCCACGTGAAACAGTATAGAACAGAAGTAATTTATACTGCAGCTGGTGTACTGCATTTGAGCCCTGCTTTGATTTTATCAGCATTTGTCAATTAATCAACGTGAACCTTGTAAAACATGTTCTCTTATTAGTGGAAACAAGCAATTGCTTGCAGACTTTGAAGGAAAGGTCATTTAATAATTTGCTAATTGTGCAAAGATAGATTTAAATTTAAAAAGAAAGGCAAACTCCCATTACCACGTGCATAAACGCGACTTTAAGTTTAACCTTGCTCACTTAAATGTGGTCCATGGTTCCATTTTTGTTTTCATTTTTAACTGAATAGCAGAGAAAGATTAAGACCAAAAAAAGTAACCTCCGGATTTTAAATTTATTTTAAGAAACTTTTTGTTGTCACCTTTCCCATTTCAAAGGAGTTGCAAGCCTTGAGGCTATGGTTCTCAATGAATCAATTGCATTTTCTTGGCAAAAAAAAAAGAAAAAAGACAAAGCAAAAGAAATAGAAAAGAGCAGCACAAAAGAGCCATACAGTGGCAATGTTCTGTCTCCTTTCGGTTTTGTTTATTTGCCTCACCTCATCCTTCACCCTGCTAGATGAGATGTCAGCCCCAGCTTCTGATGGCTGGTTCATTTTAAGTTCAGTGAGAAAGAAGCTGAGTCAAGTTCTCCCGGGCAAGCCCCACACCAGCACCCTGGCCGACGCCCCCCACCACCCAGAAAGTGCTTCAACTTCCCGCGTCACCAAGTGCTCCGTGGTCACCCACGGGGACGCCACCACGTTTAAAATGGGGAACATACCTCGGAGAGCAATTTCTACACCAGGGTCTGCAGGGCTAAATCGAGAAATCCGCACCATCTTAGAAGTGTCTGTGACACCGAAGATGAGCTCCCACGCCTTGAGGCCTTTGTAAGAGAAAGAATTTTGTACGGAGTTTACAGAGACGACATCTGTGGAATGGAGATGGGTCTTGCCAGACCCGGTCTGGGCAAACTGCTTTGCTGCACAGCTCCTTTTACAAGAGCTACGAGGCCCAGGTTGCTCTCTGCCTGCTCAAACTGGCTTATCAATCCATTCCATTCCGTTCTGTTCTCCTTCTAAATAAGTCATTATTTCAGGCACATTTCCCTAAGCAGATGCAAACACTCTTCCTGTGTGAGATTCCCTTGGGCGAATTAGGCTTCTTGGAAAAGGGTCAAGGAGCAATCAAACAAAATACCTACTGAGAAACAAGCCTGTGGCTTTAGGGGATGCTGTCCGTCACACAGGCCAGGAGTCAAATTTTAGATACTGCTCGGCCGCAATCTTGAGCGTGATAGGGCCGGTGATGGGGAGCACAGTCCGGCTATCTGCAGCCGAAGTTTCTTTTTTGGTCATAAGCAATAGGTTTATTTTTTTGCCCCAGCTTTACTGAGGTAGAACTGGCAGAAACAATTGTATACATTTAACGTGTACATACAGTGGTAGACAGATAGAGAGAGAGACAGTGAAATGATGACCGCAATAAAGTTAGTTAACAAATCCATCACCTCACATAGTTACCTTTCTTTGTGTCTGGCGAGAAGGGCTTATGTCTTAAGGAAACAAAACTGATAGTCATAAGACAATGGAAAAATTTCCTTGTCTTAATATTTCTAATTAAATGCTGCTAATCAAATTCCAATTTCTTAATTAAACTAATAAAAACTTTTAGAAGGGAAAAAGTTATCATTAAATTGCTATCTTCGGTTCTCATCATCTTATCTAACAAATGTGGGCTATTTCTGAAATAAATACTCTTTACATCTCTTTTTTCTTTGAGTCAGAGGGAGAAAAGTACCTCTGATGTTCTTTTAATATTTGCTTTTATTTACTTCACCTTCAGTTAGCTCACTTCCATATATCAAGATTCTTCTCCAAACAGGAGAGACAAGAGGCACATGCAAAGGGGGGCAGGCAGGTGGCCCACCTTCAAGAAACAGAAGAGCTGCTCCCGGGCAAGAGTTACTTCCACCTAAAACACACATACCATATTACGAAGCCACAGGGAAAAATGAATGGAGGTGGATGGCAGGTTTTCATTTGTTTCCCTGACATTCTGTAAATAAGTGTGTGTGTTTCAGTTCAAACGGTTCCATTATCTTGGAGGTCTTAACCATTTGTAATAGTTTCTGAAGTGTTCAGAGCCTGTGCTCGAGGAGTATTATTGGCATTCAATGTAGTCATGCTACCTGAAGCAGGTTTACAACTCTGTTCGTGGTTATCTTTGATCATCTCCATTTGAAAGTAAGTTCAGCCTCGTGAGGTGGCTGAAGCATCCTCTGATGTTTCAGTTTGTTGGTCAGCGCCCCCCAAATTCCCCGAACATCTGGCTCTGCTGGGCACCCTCACACTCTTCACATGAAACTACAATTGGCAAGGTCAAGGTAGGGGGGTGGAAATGGTGGCCAGCGGTGTTAAACTAAGAAACATGTTTAAAAAAGGGCAGCCTTGGGCGCCTGGGTGGCTCAGTTGGTTAAGCGACTGCCTTCGGCTCAGGTCATGATCCTGGAGTCCCGAGATCGAGTCCCACATCGGGCTCCCTGCTCAGCAGGGGGTCTGCTTCTCCCTCTGCCCTCTTCTCTCTCGTGCTCTCTGTCTCTCATTCTCTCTCTAATAAATAAACAAAATCTTTAAAAAAAAAAAAAAAAAGGGCAGCCTTGTTTGAAAATGTACCCGGGATTTTGGTTGTCTTCGGGTGTGATGAGGCCAGCATTTTAGGAGATGCTTGCCAATGAAAAGACAGTCTGCTATGTCCAGTTCCCAAGAGGAGGGGGGCGTGCAGTGCCGAGACGGCCTGGAGGCACTGGGGTCGGCTGGAATCAGAGGCGATAAGGGGGGAACATGGCAACTAACTTGTTTGTGGTTTCTGCAGGAAAGGCAAAGCAAGGCAAGGCAAGAGGTTTAGGATTGGCTAGTTTGCATAATTTCAGTGGGTTCTGTGGTATGCAGTTGGTTCCTAGCTGTCCAGTACCTGGCCCTGAGGTGATTTAAGGCAGGGGGATAATATTCTGGACTGCAAGAGCCTGATAAAAGGAGGCGGGTGGGGGCATAGACTCAGGATTGCTTGACGTCAAAGGGTGTTCCTAGGCCAAGTGAATTAGCTAACCCTGCAAGGAGAGTGCCTCCCCCAGGATCTGCGAGGCCCTAAGATGTCCAAGTATCATAAAATACAGACAATGAAAAACAATCTTGTTGAAAACACTGCCATAAGAAGCATAAAAACAACGTTCCTCAGACTCCACCGTGCAGAGAGATCTCCAGGGTATTCTGTTAAACTACATGCTGATTCATTAGATCAGGTGGGGTTTGAGACTTTGCATTTCCAATAAACTCCCTGGTGCTGCTGGGACAACACTTTGAGAACTTAGGGATAAGAATATCACTATAAGTCTCCTCTTGGGTCACCTTCTGCAGGGAAAAGGGAAGGACTTAACATTTACTGAACCCTGCTGTGCACCAGATACTGCTGGGCACTGAATATTCAGACTTCATCTTGTTTCACTTGGACAACACCCTCGGCTAGTAGGAAAAATTATCCCAATTTTATAGGAAAGAACTGAGGCTCCGGGTGATTAAGTCACCTGCGTTGGGTCACTTAGCTAAAAGTAAGAAGTTATAAATGTATCTGACCTAAAAACTCTTTTTTTTTTTTTGGTCCCACTACAACATCAGTACAGACGGTACCACTCTGATGGAAAATAAAAAGTCTCGGCTGATAAAAGCTTCATGAAGTATAAATTCCATGGAGTTGAATCATGGGGCACTTACAACGTGACTTTTGAAAAGAAGGGAAATTCTAAATGGTGTTCATTATCTCAGGACCAGAAATAAATGGTGCTGACTAAATAACTTATATTTTATTATGGCCATTCGAGAAACACTGGAAATGGGACTCCCTCTGAAACTAGTGTTTTTATTTTAAGAAGTGATGCGTGAAAATGGTAAGATATATACAACAGAAGTTACTCCTCCTCCCACGTGCCCTTAGTTCTACGGCTCAGAGAGAACTATTGTTAGGTTTGTGTAGCCTTCTAGAGATTCTGGACAAATAATAAGATTCTATGCAAATAACTCCCTTTTTCATACAAATTCATTCAGAGAGTCATTTTAAGGCACTGGGGGGGAAAGCAGTAAATAAAACACACAGAAGCCCTCATGTACCTTACATTCCAGTAGGGAATACAGATCATAAACAAACAAGTAAAATAATTATATGGTATGTCAAATAGGGCTAATCCTAATGGAGCAAAAGCGGGAGAGGGGATGCTTGTGATTATCAATGCAGTGGTTAAGGACGACCTCACTGAAACGGTGATATCGCAGTAAAGACACGAAGGGGATCCTTCTGTTCCACGCTGACTTTTCCCTGGTACGTGTTAAAGCTCTCACCGTATCAGAACGGAACAGGTCTACCTCGTTCTCTTTAGTGGCTCCACAGTATGCCACTGTTGGCATACAGGAATGTTCTAGATTAATCCTGTTGTGTAATTTGTTAAGATGATCAGTCAGTGGTCATAAAAAGATTGGGGAACATGGCATCGAACCTGATGAAGTAGAAAGGGATTTCATTCAGCTGGGTGTGAGAAGCTGTGGCTGTCAGTCAGTCCCAGTGTGCCACTCGCCCTGCATGCTCATGGTATCACTGAGTATTCCCCCCTTTCCTGCCTCATCTTAGTCTGTGCCACTGTCCACCAGGCAGTAGAAGTTCCTCTAGCGGGGGGGTCAGGGTGACATCCTGTTTGCAATTTTCCTCAATGCCAGGCTACCTGGAGTCCTTGCAGAGTCAAAGAAAAACTCTGTCCCTCCAGGTGACAAGCTTTATATATCCCCCACAAAGGAAGCAGAAGCAAACATTTAGGGAGCAGTTAACCCTCTGGGCTCTGAAGGCAATCTTCCCCTTTAGGAGAAAGCATATAAGCTTCCCTAAAACAAAAACAAACAAAATCCTTACCTTCCAGTAATACTTATTTATGTGGATGCAGATGTTTAACTCTGGGCCGTATGACTGAACAGATTCCACATTTAATGAAAGATTAATTTATTCATTTAATTATTATCTGAGGCAGTACCTGGATTATGTCAGCACTCTGCCAAGCTCTGTAGGACGAATACATATCAGTGCAATATGGCTCCTCCCCCTGTCACCTTCTAGCCTTTTAGCAAAGACAGGACAAGAAAAAAACAAAACAACACAACCAAACACAACACACCAGGAATTTGGTAAGTGGTGCCAAAGGCAATACAACAAGGATTAAAATAAAGGAGAGACTGCTCTGACCCAGGGCCCCTCAAAGACCCTTCAGAGAGGAATCTGAGCCGAGATACAAAACGGGTAAAGTGGAACAAGGGGACTCTGGGACTGGGTGGGTGTGTGTGTGGATACGTGTGAGTGGAAGGTGAGCAAAGGCCCCGGTGAGGGGGAGTACATATGCCGCATGGGACCGTGAAGTGGCTGTGTAGAGCTTAACCCCGAATGTGGGGTGTGCTTGTGGATGAAGGGCAAGTTGCTTGGAGTGTGAACAGCAGATGGTCCTAAGGCCCCTACTTCGTTATTAGATGTGGGATAAATAATAGTTTTGAAAGAGATCCAAAAAGGCACCATCAGTTTCTTCCTCTTTTTTTTTTTTTTTTTTTTTTGGTGTATGGGAGCAAGGGAGGGTTGTACACTTTGGTTTTACAACCTCTATTTCTAATGCCAGTAATTTTTAAAACCTACTTCATACTTCTCAAAATAATGTATGCCTATAGTTTAAAAAAGCACATAGTATTATTATGGTACTATAAGGCCTATAACTAAAAACAACCATCCCTTCTGTCACCTGTCCCCACCACCCCTTTCCTGCTCCTCTGAGGAGACGTTTTTTGGTTTGCTTTATTATGAAGGAGAGTTATTTGCCAGAGTGAGCTCGCTATTAACAGGTAAGGCTTTTGCCCACCCAGTTAGTTACTCTCGGTTTGATAAATCTATGCACTTGTCCAGAGGAGAGAGACTAACCGGTAACTAACCCGTCCCTCCCGACAAAGAGAGTGAATCCTGCCATAGGAGAAAAAACTACTTTTAACTTCCAATTCTGATATTTGATTCCATATTTTTAAAATGTGTACATACTGATATTTCTCAAGTCACCATTTTTAGAGATTATCTTCTGTCTCACTAGGAGGCAAAGAAAAATTTAGCATCCTTGTACCATCACCACCTCCCAACAAGCTTCCTCCCACATCTCTCCAGTATGTTAAAGTAGCAATCTGGGGTTGAATCAAAATTCTGTTTAGATTGTTATGACTATACAATAATTATTTACTATCAAGCCACATAGTGTAAGAAAACACTTCCTATCTTGTGCAATATTTAGTTTTTCCTTTCCTTTTTTTTGGTCCATCTATTAATAACTGCTCCTGAACTTTCCAAATGAACTATAAAAACCCTATTAAAACCATTTTTTTTCCCCATGATCAATGCCATCAGTTAATCTGTCACATCTATTCTTCCCTGGAGGAGCCTCCCATTGAGTTGTCTGGTCTAGCGGTTTCCCAGGCCAGCGCCCACCTGTTGTCCTGGGGCTTCTTTTTAACACCATCTTGCGAAATCCCTGCGCCTCTCGCCTGTGTTGGGTCCCCCGTTTCCTGGATCCCATGGCTTCCTCTTTCTTGGATTACATCCTCATTTTTGTAGAGCACATTCTCTAGTAGCTTCCTGAGAAAAGGTACATGGGAGGTAAATTCGTTGAGACCTTCCTTGAGCAACTGAAAATGTCTTAATTCTACTCTCATGCTTGCTAGTTAAGCTTGTCATTAAATCCTAAGTAAAAAGTCATCCCCCTCAGCATTCTGAGGGCCAGACTGTCTTCTAGCTTCCAGTGTGGTGCTTGAGGAGTCTGATGTCATTGGCATTCCTGATCTTTTATATATGACCTGTTTTATTTCTCTGGAAGGTTTTAGAATCTTCTTTGTAATCCCTGGTGTTCTGAAGCCTCATACTACAGAATCTCAATGAGGATCTTTTCTTATCCATTGTTCTGGACCCTTCAAATCTGGATATTCCTATTGTTCCATTTTGGAAATTTTTCTTGTATTATTTTTTAATAATTGTCTCCTCACTATGAACATAGGTTTCCAGTCTCATGAATTTTTCCTGGGTTTTATATATTTATTATGTATTCTACTCTGGTCTAGTTTGTTTATCCAGAGAATTTTAGGTTACCCAAAATCAACTACTAACCACCTGACAACTGCTTTCAGGGAGGATGTTGCCCAAAACATTTTAACTCTCCATTTTTTTCAAGGGATCATTGTGCAAAGTGAGTTGAACTCTAAGAATTTATCTTTATAGTGTCTCATTATTATCTTGGCTCTAGAAGTTTGGACCAATAATCAACCTGAGGCAGATGCCACATCAATTTCTTAGTACACAGGAAGGAAGGAAAGAAGGGAGGGAGGAAGGGATGACAGGAGGGAGGGAGGGAGGGAAGGGGGAAGGAGAGATGGAGGGATAGAGTGGGGAAGGAAATAAAATAGAGAAACAGACATCAAGAAAGGGATTTTAAAAAATAGTGAGATGACTGGCCCAAATAACTATCTTAAGAAAAGCTGTAATTTTATTAAATAAGAGAAGAGACTGCAGAAAGTCATCTGACTTTAAGATAACTAAACAATGATCACTCACTTGGAAGGCATTCAAGTAATGAAATCACTAAATGTTTACCGTGAAACTCCATTCATTCATTCAACATGTACCCAAAATTCATATAAAAAACACCATTATCCAGCAAAAACAATCCAGATAAAAATTTTCACAATTACATGCCCAGAGTATCTTCCATGTATGTTCTTGTCCTTTTACTGTCCTGAAAAGTATCCATTTTTGGTTTCAGAATGCATGCATACATGTACGCACTAGTGTATATTGTATATATTCCTTTACCTCATTCCCTAAATAAATTTAAGTCCACTTGCTGGTTATCCTTTTAATATATTTTTATTTTTCCTTAGTACATTTCTTACAAATTTGCCTACCTGAAATTATGTAATTCTTTCTATACTATGCCATAACTCAATTATGGGCCAATAACTTTTTTAAAAAGTAAGTATGTTGTCAACAACAATGCTTCTAATGCAGCTGTGATCAAATCTTTGAGCTTGAGAAGATGAAAGACTTTGTAGTCAGACTGACCTTGTTTTAAGTCCTAACTCTTCCACTTACTGAGTGTATGATCTTCAGAAAGCTAACAATCTCCCCAGTAGGAAAAACAGACATAATATTATCTGCAGGTTTTTATGAGGATTAAATCACATAATGCATATAAAGAGCCTGACACAGTCTAGGTGCCCAATAAATAAAAGCGATTAAAATCAGAACATAAGAAGACACCTTTAACTCTCTAGAAGTACATCTTTTCTAAGTAGTTTTCAGTTCTGTTCTTAGGCACCACATCACTGGTAAGCTGGTCCATTGGAAGCAACTTGTGAGTTACTGAGGAGAGATGGGGATAAGTTCTTATAGGCAATTAGGGAAAGCAATATGAAAATGGGGGAAAAGAGGGAGCCTGAAAAAAAAATTAAAGAAAATATGTGACTCTGGACCTTAACCTTTTGGGGACACTGTTCATTTAATAGCAAAATTGGGAGGCTGGATGAAGTTCCTCCAGATATTAATGATAAAGAGTTCTAAGGTTAGGTAATTTTGGAATATGTGTTCATCTCCCCCATTCAAGGTACCAGTTTGGTTTTGTTCTACCTGGTGTATTACAAACTTATTTGCCCACAGATCATCACCACTTTTTTTTCCAGGTACTACTTATTAACATATTTTGGAAAGGACAATGAGTTGACCTGCAGCTTCCCATTCTATAATGTTTCTCTGAGTTTTATGACCTCAGCTAAATGTTCTGGATAAGGAGAATATAATGTGTCAGAGGTTTCATTTATTGATGATTTCTCCTACAGCAGCACATAACTTTTATGGGAGAAAGTCTATCATCATGATTTCAAGGAAATTTCAAATATATATTCTGATGATTGGGACTCACCAAGGAAAGTCTTACTATCTCGTCTCATCTGCATGGAACCATCAATAGCGCTGATCACCAGCGCACTGACTGAACCACTGCCGATTCAGTGGATTTGATTTGGGGACGAAGACAGATTACTGGGACACATCTGGCAATGTTGGCAATCAGTGAATGAAATGAATCAACAGGGTAGTGATGGACTGGCTGCTCATGATCAACAGGACCTGGATGGACAATGACTGTGGGACAAATGAATCTTTAGGCAGGACAGGACTACTTCGTGATACCAGAAGACTCAAATGGGCATTTCACGGGCATAATTCTTAATGCTATAATTACAAATTAAACTGTTAAAATGATTTGTTACTAAAACACTTTTACGGGGCCCTGGGTGACTCAGTCATTAGGGGTCTGCCTTTGGCTCAGGTCACGGTCCCAGGGTCCTGGAATCGAGCCCCGCATCGGGCTCCCTGCTCAGCAGGAAGCCTGCTTCTCCCTCTCCCACTCCCCTTGCTTGTGTTCCCTCTCTCCCTGTGTTTCTCTCTGTCAGATAAATAAAAACTTTAAAAAAAACCCAAAAAACAAAAAACAACACTTTCACTTCTTCTCTCAACCTACCAACATTACTTTTATCTGAAAGGAAAGGGCTGTGTTATATGTTGCTGGGAATAAAAGGATATATAGCAGGAAAGAGGCCAAAGAACCTACCAAAAAAGTATCCGGGAGCCAGATGCTCTGTCAGTAACTTTCCATGTAGCCTTCAATAAGTCTTTGTTTTCTTACTTGTAAAAATAACTATCCTCAAGGAGCTTATAGCTAAGTTGATTCTATTTACAAATTTGGGATTTTTCATTTAATGCCTTCTTACATTACAAAATCATTCTTAATTTATCTACATAGCAGAGATAAAAGTGAATGAATATTTTGATGTTCTTTAATTAATTACATGAAATAAACCCCCCTCCTTCATCTTAATTACAGGAATTCCAACATAACCTGTTGCTATGTTTTCCCTTTTTTCTCCTGATATGTCTCTTTCCCCTCAAGGCTGCTAAGGTTTTAAAGTGTTCTAATTATTTCTATCTTTTCTTTAAATACTCTGCCTCAAAAGCATACTTTTCCTCCTTCTCAAAAGGAAATTTATCAAAAAACAACATTGTAGGATCCAGAGAATGAGTGTGTTGGTAGTAAGGTGGCCAATCATCCTGGTTCGTGTGGGACTGATGGGTTTCCCACTGTGTAGGGCTCTCTGGGCTAAAACTGGGACAGTCTCTGGCAAACCATAACAGTGGGTAACCTTGGTTTGTAATCTGAGCAAGGACTGGATGCCCGCATCAGAAAGTCGCAATTTTAATCCCCCTATTAGAAGTTCTCTTCTTTCATTGCCAAACAGCTGTAGTAAGCAATCAGACACCAGATGGATGAATGAATTTAATGGCCTTCAAGTTTCCTTTACACCATTGGTTCTCAATTCTGGCTTCTTTCTAGAATCATCTGGTTAAGCTTTTTAAAATGATATTATTCCCTGACTTGGTCTGAAGGTGAGTCCCAATCATCAGAATATATATTTGAAATTTCCCAGCTGATTCTAAGGTTACCGTGGGCTAAACAACACTACTTTGCATACATTCTGAGATTCCTACTATAGGTCTAATAAGAGCCACTCAAAGCAAGGAAAAATCTACTTTATGGCCTCTGACTTTTTAAATATTACATGCATGTTTCCATTTCACAGTTCAAACAAATGAGAACCCACAAACTGACTTTACATTTATTCACTTAAGGATCATGATATATAAGTTTCTGTCTTGTCATATTTTCATTCTGACCATCAATCACCACCATCTATTGACTTTTTGTGTGTGTGTGCACAAGAAGCTGTATTGGGCACTGTGGGGCCACAAAGGTTTAAAACTCAAGTTCTCTGCCTTCAGGGAGCTCACCGTGTGACACATGAAAGGTGACTAAATGATGGAGCCAATGACCTCAAGAGGAGATCAAAGAGGAAACGGCTATGGCCTGAGACAGTTGGGAAATCTGCACTGGGCAGTGGTAAGTAGGGCTTAAACCAGGCCTTGAGGACTGAGTGGAATTCCAGTTAGAACCAAGAAAGGCATCCCCAGTAGGGAGAAAAACACTTTTGGGGTAGGTAAGAAGCAAATATCAATGTAATAAAAGTAAAATAAACTAATGAAAACATAAATACACATTCTACACAATGCAAACCATATCTAGGGAGGCACGTAGCTCAGTATAAGGCCAACTGTTGTGCAAGGGGGTCATAATCACCCGGTCATTTTTTTGGTGATGACCACCCATGACACTGAAAATGAGAACTGGACTGGTGGATGAAATAGCTGGTTCGGGACAGGCATAAAGACAAGCTTGGGGAACAAGCCACCAAACAGCAGTAGTGGAAGTCCGTTCCCTCTCTCATGCTAGGCCCACTGAAGAGACCTAACTGCCCAGACATCAAGGCAAATGCTCCAGCAGTTACAATCGAACTCATGCCAAAGTTACACATTAGTTGTCATGTTATATGATGATCAATCATTGATTTTCAATTACTTTTATAATGCAATGGTCTTTTCTCTGGATTTCAGGATTAAAGCACTACTGTTCCATTTGTCTTTGCCTCCTAAAATAGTTAATTTTCCTATTTATTCCAATGTCTGGTCTTCATGCGAGATGTTAACTAAATGTCAATGAATGATCTGGGTATGCATCATCTCAGGAAGTCAGTTGGCAAAATTAACATTTAGAAGTAGGCACCACTGGTTATTTCACACATTATTAACTTATATTACAATTCAAATAAGCTTACAGCTGGCAAAAAAAAAAAAATCTCTTCTGTAAAGTGATCTTAAACATAATAGGCTTAATCAGAGATAAATTAAATTAGGCAGCCATGCATACTACAGCATATTAATTCTGAGTAGTTATTAAATACATTTTCTGTTATCAGTGGTGTGAACAACATTATATGCAAACAGATTCTTCAAGAGGGTAGCGAATGAAGTTTATGTCTGGGAGGCTACGTGCCTGACATTTTCCCATACTTTCTTATACTGTTAAATAATCTTTCCTGCTAATTGTGGCACTAGGTTTAGTTCCCATAAACAAGTCAAATTTACTCCCAGACAATTAAGCAAAAGAACAGCAAACAAAACTGCCAGGGTGATTTTGGGTTTTTCCAAAGGGAACTTTTCTACCTTTCTACGGCAATTTTTAAAAGAAGGCAGTAGTGAGGGACAGCTGGAGTAAAACTGTCCAAAGTATAAGGCAATGAATATTCATCACGTTAAAAAATGATGCATCTCATTGTGTGTTTTGGGTCACCTGTGTTGCCTGAGAAGATCCAAAGAAGGAAATTATTAAGGTTCAATGCTATTTTGTAAATAAGCCTACCATTCTTCTCTTTTTCCTTAAATGGTTGCAATGCAAGCCATCAACTAGCGCTCAGATTCTATAAGCTAGCATACAGTGCTTTTGTGAAAGAAAATAAAAAGATACACCTAAGCCTTTATATACACACATACACACGCACACCCTCCCTTGATCGAATTCTGCCATATTATCTTGTTCTTTTATTAATCAATAAGGCCCTTTAATTTCTGCATCCAGAAGCAATGCAAGTAACTAGGCATGACCACCCTCCCACCCCCAAGTCGGAGAACAGCATTTGACACTCTTTGCACTTTGCACATTTAAAACTCAATGTAAGGTGACAAGAACATTAAGCTGCCCAGTGAGCAAAATGTGAAACTAATCACTATCTGTTCTTATCCGTGGGTACAATAATTGGCAAATTAAAGTGCCTGAGAATAGTTGGCCCACTTGCATCAAAAAACATCACTTTAAAACGGCTAATGAAGATGAATGCATGCAGCCAGCTTTACTGACAACTCCTCCAAACACCAGCAGACTGAAAAGGCAACATTACAGCACCCATTTAATTTACTGTAAAGTACACAACATGTAGACTTTTTGTTATTTAAAGGAGCAAAATCCAAACCCCTTCAATATGTTTTATAAACATCCTGGTGGAATTAAGGCTGGTACTTACTCCTCAAGCCCCAGTGCTTTTCTTTTTATGCTAGAAAACTGCAATCAACTTGCCTACTAAAATGTTGAGTTTGTACCTTTATAACAGCTAGATTCAAATAAATATAAATGCCACAAAAAAAGGAAACAACTTAGTTTTAGTAACCTTGCTACTGTCCATCCATCCATCCATTTATCCATTCATGTGACATGTACTGAATACCTACTTTGTCCTAGGCACTTCTTGATATTTGGCACAAAGAGATGAATGACTTCTCCTTAGGGAGCTTGTCAGCCACTGGAGGAAGGCAGGCTGCACGCAAACAGACAGCGAAGAGGGACGACACGTTGTTGTGGAAATACTTCCAGAGCACCTCACTCCCCTTAGAGGCTTTGGAGAGGAGAAGACTCTTGAGCTGAATCCTCAGATGTTACTGAAGGCATAAAATGGAGAATTTTTGAGGCTGAGAAACTTGAGAAAAATCTTCTGAGCTGAAAGAACAGCATGGGCAAAATCAACACCAAGGTCATGGTCTGCTTGAAGGAAAGAAATTGCCTCCAGAATATATGACGGAAATAAATGCAGGAGGCAGGAGATCAACGGATGAGGAGGAGGAGAGGAAGGCAAGGGTGAGAATACAAAGGGCACTGGAAGCGTGTGTCAGGGAATTTGGGTTTAATTCTACAGGTAGCTGTTTGCAAATCACGGGCCAGGCAACCCTGGAGCCCTAGGGAGGGAGGGGGTTGGACGGGGAGGGCGTGGAGGGAAGGGGAGGCCAGGGAGTCAGGGCTCTGTGTCCTGCATCTCTCCTTGAAGCAGGACAGCTTTGCTCGTATCTGTCTTATATTGGGCCATCTTAACTTTTCAAATAACTTTTAAAATTTGAACTAGTTTTAGATCTACAGAAAAGTTGCCAAGAGAGTACAGAGGGTTCCCGTAAACGCCTCACCTAGTGTCCCCTAATACTAACCTTTTATATTACTGTGGCACATTTGTCATGACCAAGACACCAACGCTGGTACACTGCTATTAGCTAAACTCCAGCCTACATTCCTATCCCACCAGTTTTTCCACTAATGTACTTTCTCTGCTCCAGCTGATCCAGGCCAAGACCCCACGTTGCGTTTCATCATCATGTCTCTTTATCCCTTTTGATGTGTAACAGTTTCTCAGTTTTTCCTCATTACTCATGACCTTGACAGTCTCAAGAAATGTTAGCCAGTTATTTCAGAGGAAGTCCCTCACTTTGGGTTTGTCTGCTGTTTTCCACACGACCAGACTAGGGTTATGGGTTTGGGGAGGAATACCGCAGAGATAAGGTATATTTTCCATCGTGTCATAGCAGGAGGCATATGATATCAACAAAACTTACCACTTGTGATGCTAACCTTGATGACTAGTGTTTACCAGGATTCTCCTCTGGAAAGTTACTGTTTCTCTTCTTCACAAACTCTCTTACTGGGAGTCAGTCACTAAGTTCAGCTCCCATTGAAGGATGAGAGTAAACTTTACTTCCTGGAGGGAGCCAACTGTCTATGTTAGGTGGTTATTTTATAAGGAAGATCTGTCCCTTCCATTCCAGTTATTAATTTGTTCAATCATTTATTTATATTAGGATGAACTCATATATCTTCATTTTATACTTTCAACTGTAATCCAATACCACTTTATCTATTTTGTTGCTCAAACTGTTCAAGCCTTGGCCACTGGGAACTTTTTTAGGTCGGCTCTTATATCCCTTTGACGTGCCCCCATTCTTCTGTTTTTTGAGTGCTTTATTGCTTTAGGGAATACCAATTGCTCCAGGTTTATATTCTATTTTTACTGCCTCAGCCCTAGAACCAGCCACTTTCTCCAAATATTCCTAGATCCTTTTACCGGAGCATGATGTTTAGAAACCAGTGTTTGGGCACTGGTGTGCTAGCTGCTACTGGGGTAGCTCTGCCCCCAGGCCCTGGCAGCAGGAAGAGCTAGAGAACGTATGTAGGCATTCAAGCCCAGGTATACACACACAACCACAATTGTTCCTATACTTGCCCATCTGTATATATATATTAGGCTACACGTGAGTTCATATTTGACATGTCCAACCCTAATCCAGCACTAAGGGGTTCATTCCAGCCTTCCCTCCTTGCTTATCTGAAAATGCCCTGGCAGGGAGAAACCTGGTTCTCACCATCCATTTACTGTTGTTCAACTCCAGGATTTGAACACTCTTTTTTTTTTTTTTTTAAGATTTTATTTATTTATTTGAGAAAGAGAGAATGAGAGACAGAGAGCACGAGAGGGAAGAGGGTCAGAGGGAGAAGCAGACTCCCTGCCGAGCAGGGAGCCCCATGTGGGACTCGATCCAGGGACTCCAGGATCATGACCTGAGCCGAAGGCAGTTGCTTAACCAACTGAGCCACCCAGGCACCCTGAACATTCTTTTTTTTTTAATTATGTTATGTTAATCACCATATATTACATCATTAGTTTTGGATGTAGTGGTCCATGATTCATCGTTTGCTTGTAACACCCAGTGCTCCATGCAGTACGTGCCCTCCTTAATACCCATCACGGGGCTAACCCATCCTCACACCCCCCTCCCCTGTAGAACCCTCAGTTTATTTCTCAGAGTCTATAGTCTCTCATGTGAACCTTCTTTTGAAAACAGATTTCCACTACTTTAAAAGAAGGAGAAAAAGCCTGAAAATAAACATTGTAAGAGAAGGTCATTAGGTTATTTTATGTATAAAAGTACCATAACTATATTTGTATTTTTAGAAACACTATCCTGAGATGAGTGAGAGATGGCTTAAAGAGGGCTGAGCCGCGAGGCAAGGATGCTGTGATTCTCCACACGGGAGGGTAAGGACCTGCCATAGCTACGGGAATACAGAAGAAGGAATCAATTTGAGAGAGATTTTAGAAGATTAATGCATAGAAGTGATTAGATGTGGAAAGTGAGAGAGAGAAGTCAGAGATGAATGTGGATTAAATAATGCGGTACACAGTGTGCTTTTATCTGAGTTAGAAAAGACACTGGGAAGAAAGGGTTTGGGAAGGAAATAACTATGTCTAGGGCCTTTTAAGTGGAATATCCATGTGGACATGCTTCAGAGGCTTCCTGGAATGAGGTTCGGATTTCAAGAGAGTTGTCTAAGCTGTAGAAGTGAATTTCAGGGTCTTAAGCCCAAAAAGGAAGATGGAAAACCTTGGGACTGGATGAAAAGGTGAGGAATGTATGAAGAATAAAGAATAAAAGATCGGGGCAACAGCCTATCCAACATGAATATTGACAGATACATGCTGAATTTTAATACAGAGCATAGAAAATGAAAAGGACTTTTGAATTAGATAGTATATAGTGCTACAGAAATATAACAGCATTATTTTTTTTTATCATCATCACTGTAATTGTTCTGTTTTCACCAAACCATTTCACGTTTCTTGTAGGCACACAGGAAGACTATAATCCCCACTAACCCTTGCATTTAGATGTAAACGTAACTAGTTCTAGCCATAGGAATGTGGATTGGCACATGCAGCCAGAGCCCTGAAAATCTCCTGTGGGATCCTCTACTTCATTGTCTATCCCAATGTCTAGTTCATTGGTATTGGGTACAAGATAAAGTGAAATATTCAAGAATAAAAACTGTATGAGGCACTTAATGGATGAAAAAACTTTTGAAAAAATTAAACATCCATTTATGATAAAACACTAACCAACTAGGAATGGAAAAGAACTTTTCCAATCTGATAAAAAGCATCTCTGAAAATCCTACAGCTAAAATCTTATTCAATTTTTAATATAATAAAAGGGTCTCAGGAAATCAGGAGCAAGGCAAGGATGCCCAATCTCACCACTTCTGTCCAAGGAGATTTGAACCACTACAATAAAGTAAGAAAAAGAAATAGAGGATAAACATTGGAAAGAAACAGAACTGTATCTATGTGCATAGTTTATATTTAAAAATCCTATGACATCTACCAAACAATAATTATAGCTAGTAAGTAAGTTTATAAAATCACAGGGCACAGTTTTATTTTTACACTGAGATACAATTCACATACCATATATTTCACCCTTTTTAAGTGTATAGTTCAATGGCTTTGGATATATTTACAAGATTGTGCATCTATCGTCGTTGTCTAATTTCAGAATGTTTTCATCACCTGAAAAGAAAACCCATACCATCAGCGCTCACTCCCCATTCCCCCAAGTCCCTAAGTCCCACTAGTCTACTTCCTGCCTCCATGCAGTTGCCTAGTCTGAACATTCCACATAAACGGAATTAGGCAATAGGCGGTCTTTTGTGTCTGACTTCTTTCCCTTGGCAATCTGTTTACAAGGTTCATCCACACTGTAGCATTTATCTGTATCTCATTCCCTTTTTTGGCTGAATAATATTCCATTGTGTGTATATGCCACATTTTGTTTATCCGTTCATTAGCTGTTTGGGTTTTCTACACTTTCAGCTATTAGGAATAATATTGCTATGAACATTTGTGTATGAGTTTTTGTGTGAACATATATATATATTTTAAGATTTTATTTATGTATTTGTGAGAGAGAGAGCACGGGAGAGAGAGAGAGTGAGAGTACAAGGAGGGGGACCTGCAGGCAGAGAGAGAAGCAGGCTCCCTACTAAGCAAGGAGCTAGATGTGGGACTCAATCCTAGGACCCTCGGATCATGACCTGAGCTGAAGGCAGACGCTTAACTGACTGAGCCACCCAGGCATCCCAGTGTGAACATATATTTTCAGTTCTCGTGGGTCTATACCTGAGAGTAGAACTGCAAGGTCAAATGGTAATTCTATGAATAACTTTTTGAGGAAATGCCAAACTCTCTTCCAAAGTGGTTGCAGCATTTTACATCCCCACCAAAATGAATAATGGTTCCAAATCTCTCCCTCCTCACCAACACTTAGTATCATCTGTCTTTTTTATTTTAGTAATCCAAGTGGGTATGAGGTGGTATTTTATTGTGGTTTTCATAATTACTAATGATGTTGAGCATCTTTTCATGTGCTTATTTGCCATTTTTATATCTTTGGAGAAAAGTCTATTCAACAATTTTCCCCATTTTTAAGTTGAATTATTTGTCTTTTTATTGTTGAGTTGTAAGAATTTTTTATATGTTCTAGATACTAGACATTTACCATCCATAGAGTTTGCAAATATTTTCTCCCATCTTGCAGGTTTTCTTTGCACTTTCTTGATAGTGTCCTTTGAAGCACAAACGTTTTTAATTTTAATGAAGACCCATTTATCTTTTTCTTTTGCTATTCATGCTTCTGATGTTATATCTAAGAAACTACTGCCTAAACCAAGGTCATGGAGGTTTATACTTATGTTTCCTCATAAAAGTTTTATGGTTTCAACTTTTCCACTTAAATCTTCAATTCATTTTGAGTTAATTTTTGTGTATGGGTGAGTAACAGTACAA